TAATTATTTTTTAAATTTCTAGCAACACAAAATTACTTTTCTTGAAATTGAAACATTCAGAGATAATTTCATTTTGAATATTAAAGCGCGCCCTATTATAATTTGCTAATGTTAGCTTGAAGCCCTTTTTCGGATCGGTTTATATGATGCAAATGTAAAGTCTCTTTGTTATTTCATAATGAACTACCTGTTGTTTTTATTTAAATGTTTTTTTTTTAAATTTAATGCAGTTATTGCAATTTGTAGAAATCAAAAGCCACAGTTGAGAAATATTAGATTGCTGCTTGTTTGCTAATAAATAATGGAAATTGGTTGAAATCGACGGTTATGTTTTGGTATACCTTCAAATTATATCAATTTTAAGTACACTGGAGTCGCTTTTTACGCGGGTGATATGTCCCGCGTAAAAAAAAACCGCGTAAAAAAAAACCGCGTAAATTCCGGAATCCGCGTAAAAAAAACCGCGTAAATTCCGAAATCCGCGTAAAAAAAACCGAGTAAAAAAAAACCGTGTAAGAAAAAACCGCGTAAAAAGCGATATACCGCGTAAATTCTGAAATCCGCGTAAAAAAAAACCAAAATCCGCGTAAAAAAAAACCGCGTAAATTCCGGAATCCGCGTAAAAAAAACCGCGTAAATTCCGAAATCCGCGTAAAAAAAAACCGTGTGAAAAAAAAAACCGCGTAAAAAGCGACTCCAGTGTATGTTTGTTTTTTTTTTTTTTTTGGTTCGGCAGAAGTGGAAACATTGATCGAATGTTCCTTGGATATCTACAATGCTCCCTTATCTTTACTTCTTGTAAATGTATTAAATGATCAGTAATCAAGCACAGGATGTCCCTAATGTAGATCAATCAGTTTCATGAATTGACCACTTTTACGGATGTTCCGGATCTATTAGTGGACCATCCCGTGGTCCCCTGCGTTCATTTTCTGGTTACAACTCCCAATTTATTGAAATAAGACATCTATGAGTGGTTACGAATAAACCGTGGAGCTCTAGGATCAGCTTCATTAATTTATCACATTTACGGATGTTCTGAATCTTTTAGTGGACCATCCCATGGTCCCCATTGTCCATTTTCTGGTCATAGCTCCGAATTTATTGAGATAAGACGTCTATGAGTGGTATCGAAAAAACCACGGACCTCTCGGATCAGTTTTATGAATTTACCACATTTACGGATGTTCCAGGCTTATAACCTTCCGGAAACTGACTATCCCCTACTATCTGCTTAATAACTTCTCCGAAGACATCAGGTAGTTATCTCTTCAAATTGCCGTACAGTACAATCAGTGTTTGGTCCCAATTTGCTTAAACCCCATATGGTACGTGTATTCGTTAATGCCAGATCGACCGTATTATAGGAAGCCAGTGGCACTAGTACTATAGCAATACGGCAAGAACGAATCCGTACTATAGGAATCTTGACTGTACAATATCTTATTGTTTTCGGAGAGAGGACGAAAGTAAACTTTTTCCCGATTTCATATCGAAATTCACGAGTTATTTCCGGTGACTTAAAATTCCCGGCTGTTTCCCGGTTTTCCCGATTTCCCGGCTAGTGGGTCACCCTGAATCCTTTTATTACAATTGCGATCTTGGACTAAGATTTACAAACTAAGGAAGATGTTCATGATTCTGGATCATTTGAAAGTTTTCAAGATGATTAGGTAGGTATTTTTACGATTTTTAACTTCAGTTATGAGGAGAGTTCTAAAGGATTCCTAAAAATAATTCTAGAGATATTCTGTGAAGAATTCCAAGGGAATACGACTGGAATTTCAAGGTAGTTTCAAGAAAATTGTAAGTAGAACTAAAAGTGGATCCTAAGGCAGCACTGAAGAAAATTTTAAAGGGGAAGGAAGAAAGGAGAATTCCAGGGCTTTAATTAGCTCAGTCGGTAAAGACGCAGCTATAAAGCAAAACCATGCTCGCTACAATTCCGGGTCCGGTCTAGGATTTTTTTCGGATTGAAAAATTTCTCGACTTTCCTGGGCATAGATTATGAGTCAAGCAAAATAATGAGCATTTACACTCATTGTTCACGAAAACAAAAGAAGCACTTCTCCCGAATTCATTTCGCCTGCCTTCATCAGTATGACGAAGAAAATCCAATGGCATTCCAATGCGTTTGGACGGAATTGGAAATCGTACAATGATTTTGAAATCAAGAATCAGTGTTAGATTTTAAACAAAATGTAAACAATTTGTGACTCTTCATCAAATCTAACGGTACATAAGGAAAGGGAAATGAATTTAGAAGTCATGTTTACCAGAAACATTTTATCATATGATCGAAAAACAAGAGATAAAGAGCGGGTGGCGCTTAGTAAGCGGAAATTCTAATCTAATCTAATCTAATCTAATACAAACGCAGCCAGTACGAGAAAGCATCCTGGAAAATGATTAGGTTAGATAAGACCTAATCATTTTTCTTGTCAACATTGATGTTTGCAGCATATCTGAGATATGACACAAACATCAAAAAGGCCAGGCCTACTGCGTCGCATTTGCCGCAAAGATGATTCTGTGAAAGGATCCGAGTTTAAATAAACCATGGAGGTACCATATTCGAAGCAGTTCCTAAATCGACGCAATCTATAATGTTCGACTATTTTCAAAAATTATTTTTGAAATGTTACTTCTGCAAATATAAGTTTCTGTGCTCTAGGGACGATGGTGTGGCAAGGTTTTAACAAATATCTTGTCAAAATCGAGATGCGATCAAAAATATACGAGTACTTCATCATTAGGAACGTGTCAAATATTGTGCTGACACGGTATATTTGAACAGCGATGCATTTCGTAAATCAGATGCGTGGACATACCGTACCAAACGCTCCGAGTTAGGTTAAGAGTGAATGTAGCAGTAATATGTAATGTAATGAATGGTATATAAAATATAGTGTTATGGAAGGATCTCACCAAATGCCTCCAATGTTAACCAAGTTCCCGATTTATATTTGACGTTTGTCAGCTGTAAGCTTCTGGCAATTGAAACACTTGAATGAAGTCCTTCCTCAGCAACATGATCGCACCGAACGATGGGACGTTGAGGGTTTGGTGGGTTGACAGCGGCTCCAGGAACGAGCTGGGGGATATCGCAGAGACGTAGAGCTTGTAGGTCCTGCACACCGTCGATGTACGTGCACTCGCTGAGTTCCGAATGGATGATCTTCCGTAACTGATGATTGGCCATTTGCACCAGGAATTGAGCTGCTCGTGCAAATTACATCTTGAATCTCAGCGTTGGTGGCAACCCAGAACCGGGCAATTGAATTCAGGTCGATATCTATGGTAGTTGATGACCGGATCAGCACCGATGTATAAATACAACACGGAACAGCACTTTTTCATTTTAACAGGTAATCACAGGTAATCACTGGCAATTCGAATCGCGGAAATTGTGCTCCAATTACGGGACAATTATAAATTTTAAATTTTTCCAAATTTTGAAACTGAATGTTATTATGGAAAATACTCTAAAGATCAACTTTGGCTTCACTTATTGCAGCAATTTGGTGTGGATTTTGTTAGATAGTTCTTTATGCTTAGGGTGGCCATCTTATCCTATCCTACCTTACAGCAGCATAGATCAACCTTTGATGCTTCTGTAGGATTTATGGAAAACGCATAAATTGACGCTCAAGTCTTACGTAGCTGCTCAGATTGACTGTCCTGTGTGATTTTTTCTTTTCTTAGAAGAGCAGAGCGACGGGCAAGCGTCTAGAATAGGTTTCTAAAAGAGGCTTCTGAAAAAAAAACTAAAAAAAAAGCATCTTCTAACTTAACATAAAATCACGGGCGCAGGACAGTAAATTTGAGTAATTGCACAGTAATTAAGCACTTGAATAGTTGCAATGAAAAACTTCGAGTTAGACAAAAATTGAATACTGAAGTTTACTGTATTTAATAGTGCTGCATAAATTTTATTTATAAAATTTGAGCGAAAATTAATATTTCTCTCACTGTGTATTCCTTCTAATCCAAAAACTATTTTGTTTTCCAACTCCATTACTCTTTTTGTCACCTAAGCAACGCTATTGCTCCCACTCCTATAGAAACCGACAAACTCTACTTCACATCTTCAAACAACAAGCACAACACCCCTCAAGCCAACAGGGCTAGGCCGTGCCTATGGTCACACTGAAACCAGTGCGGTTGGGGTGCAGTGAGTCTCCGGTGACATTCAATATCTATGCAATCCAGCCGCGGGGCCACACCTTCCTCAGATTCACCCACAAGCTGACTGGCTGACGGTCGGTGGTCTGGCTTCTCAACCCCAAAACAGCACACTACTTTGTGCGGCAGAACGAACACCGACTATATTCTGTATGGGTACGCGCCACCACAGGAATCAAACCGCACTTTAGCCCAGCGCAATAAAAACAAACCATGAAGGACGACTATAAGCTATATATGTAGGTACCGTAACTCCTCTCCAAAAGGAAAACCACAGTTTGAGTAAGCGTGTCGCCTGTGGGTTAGATTGGATTGGATTTCGAGTTGCAATCCGGGAGCATAAAGTGGGAACGGACCCGCCGCATTTGTCTCCATTAGAATTGCCTACAGCAGCAGTAGCAGGAGCGTCGTTGTGGTACACAAACCGAGGAGATTGAAGGCGTGTCGACAGCTATAGAATGGAGACGCTTAATGCACACACGTGTGTGCAGAAATTTCAAAGGATGGATGACGAGCGGAAGCAAGCAACCGACGAGGTCGGTCGGGTACGAGATGTTTATGCACTTTCTATCACACACCGGCTGCTATTGCCGCTGGCAGGAAGTGATGTGTTCTCATTTTACTCATTTTTTTCTATATACTGAGTCACATTTTGCCACACACAGATATGGTACTCTTGCCAGCAGCAGGAATACCGTACATTTATCTTTTATTTGCAGTCAATTGAAAGTTATTACGGATGTTGAAAGCGAAATTACCAAACAATTTGTGATGTAGGTACCTACGAACACATGTATGTATGTATGTGAACTCACCTAGAGCATGACACTGGAGAATCTTCGTTCGACCTTCATTCACCATCGACCCGGACGAGGATGGTTGCGTCGTGAAGCGTGGCGCTTGCATCTGCGGTTCTGCTGGAAAGAGAAGCACACGAGAAAAGAAAGCAATTAATGGATGGTTGGAGCAGAGAAAAAACCTATATGCACAACAACACAATTAGTTCTTATTGTGGTTATACGCGATGCCGCGTGATGGCCTTATGAGTGCAATAACTAGGGCACATCATCATCGTCGAAGTCTTAAATGCTATCACAAGCCGATTGGCATCATCGTCGTGCGTTATCTATATAGTCGTCGAACGTAGAGTAGAGACATCCCACGAAGGCTCGTGAATCGATCCTTAATGAAAATTTCCAATTTAGCTGAAATTTTGCACCTTTTTAGTAAGTTGTTATTTTACGTTACAGTTCTTCATATTTGATCACGACTACTTTTCCAACAGGGCTTGTGCAAAAATAGTACTAATGAATTAAAAACATATATATTGTCGAAACGGTTTGTTCTATTGATATGGTATCTTCAGCAATTCTGTAAAAAATATACCATTTATTTATTTTTTTGTTTTTGACGTAGGACCACATCACAGAACAGAAGGGGAAATGCAAACAAATCGGTGAATCAAAAAGTGGTTCGTTTTTCTGCTCAACAAGTGTTGTGGTAGCGTTCCACACAGGCTTTCTATGTGCACTTACACTATCATAGCTGCCTATCTTAAGGGGGGAGTACACTTTGATTTTTCGAAAAAATGCATTTTTTTTTGCTTAAAATTTTCCTTGGGATGTATTAGAAAAGACTTCAATTCCGCCAGAATATTCCTTACCGCTTTACGAAGCGATTTCCTAAAACATGTACCGGCGCGCTGAGAGAGCATTTTTATCTTTAAACGCGCTTATCTCGAAACGGGGTTTTTCAAACTGGCGTGGGAAATAACTCTAACCAGTTATCATCAAATTTGGATATCGCCTAGGTTTTCTTGTTCAGAATCAAATTCTGCTTAGAAATACGCATCCACGCATCGATTTTGTCAAAAATGGATTTTTAATCCACGATTTTGTAAGCATTTTTAGGGTGAAAAAATGAACTTTTTTTTCCTAGGGCCACAACTTTTGAAAAAATTAATTTAAAAAAAATCGGAGTACGTATTTCTAACCCAAATTTCATTACTAATCAGGATTTTTGTTCGATTTATGTTCCAGGATCACATGGAAAGGAGTATTTTCCCACGCCGTTTTCCGACTTCCGCGCGAGGACGCCCGCGCGACCTGGTGCACCGGCCACGGGGAGACGCCAATCGTGTTCAAAAAAATACAATTTGTAGTTCGAAGGATGACTAATAAATGGGTTATAACATAATTGCCCTCCCTGAGTGTTTTATTGCTTTAAAAAATTAACGAAGATGCCTTACTTTTTGGACGTTCAAAGTGTACTACCCCCTTAACTGCAGGCAGAAGATGCCTTTTACCGCTAGGTGCGCTAGTGTTCGCAAATGACAAGTGGAACCACTTTCTGATCCGAAGTTCCATTCCTGTGACTAGATTCAACTCGCAACTATGAAATTACTTGCATTTTTCCAAACAAATTCTTTTGATTCCTCCTCAAAATTTGTCAGAACCCTCTTGGCATTTTTGTCCGAATTCATTAAAGATTTAATTGTAATCCTCCGTAACATATCCTCTATGAATTCTCCGAAACTCCCATAGAAATATGCTCAGGTTTCCTTTTCATTCAGAATCTTCTCGAACTCATAATCAGAATGTCCTTAGATTTTTCTTATGAAGTTCTCCTCAGAATTATCATGGTATAATCCACCTTTTCGTCCAAATTTTCTTATAATTCCTTAAGAATTAAAGTAAAAAACTGTTATGAATTTTCATTAAAATATCATTTGAATCCTATTGAGGGTTGCCTTGGAATTCTACTCAGATCTACCTTTTTGTGGGTGACCCTCACAATTATGATCGATGACATGAATAACTTTTTTTTATTGATTTTAAAATATTTACTAACTTTTTCTACCAAATATTCACTAAGGTGCAATTAGTTTAAGCTATGAGCTTGTACTTGTACTGAAAAATGTGCACTCATGCGGAATGTACTTATTTTCAAAATCATAACAACCAAGTTTGAATTAAGTATAATACTGTTCCATGCTATGGAACTAACATCCAAAATGTTGCTTAACGGTTGGAACGATATATAATGGGATGAGTTTATCTTGTGCTAATTTCGAGCTCTCTTTGTGCTTTATTTGTGCGCTCCTACCCACATTGCACGTCTCTCAAATGTTTGCGTGCTCTCTCGGGTCCCCTGCTCTCAAAAAAATAAAATCGAGTGCAGGAGACTGACTAACAGCGCACAGCACAATCTTTTTTTTAGCTGTTTTCGTGCTTCCAAACGATCTCTGGTCAAAAGACAGGCATAATAAGAATAAATTCTAGCCTAACATTTGAAAGGGGCAGAAGAGCTAAAATGTAAATAAAATAATATTTTGCAACAGTTCACAAACTCGATAAACAATAAAAAGTAGAAGAAAATATCAGGGAGGGACGTATTCTCAATTACTTAATTGAGAATGTTACCTAATTCCTATATAACTTTATAATTACTAAACGTAAGATTTGAAGAGCCTATCATCTTGTGTAAACAAAACTTGTATGGACCTTTTCACGCAAACCGAAGTAGGAGGAATTGCAAAACTTAACTAACTCTCGTTTTTTATGATAAGGCTAACTCTTTCGACTGAAGTGTAATAAAGACTATCCATCAAACACTCCCCAAATTTTTTTCATACAAAACAGTGTCAAAATCTAAAGAAAATTCATGAAGTCCCCTGGGTTGCAAACTTGAATTAATCAACTCTTCATTCATCAGAACAACACTATCAGAATGAACAAGGGGAAGCTCATATGTTTTGACCGGCGCACCGGCGCAACCATGGGTAATTGAGAGATTTACAACTCACAAGAAAGTGAGAGCGAGCTTTTGCGCCCTCTTTCTCCATTGCTCCCTTTGCCTGCAATCAGATATAAGTGCACAGCGAGAAATGCCCATACATCACAAATGTTCTTCTTATTTAAACTCACACATTCAAATCGGTCTGCAAGTATAATAAGGTCCAAAGCGTACCAGACTGCTGTTTCCGTGTTGCTCCCGTTTGACGCGTGACTGCTGAAAGCTTCAATTACAACTCTTGATAGAGCTGGAATTAGGGCGTAACAGCTTTTGTAAACAATTACTTCTCTTGACGATTTCTCGAAACTCAAGGCACGCCCACGCAAACCAACATAACCAACGGGAAGGGGAAGTCTTCCTTTACCCGATGGTGTCATTGATTTGAGAGGGCGAGCCTTGACTTTCTAGAAATCATCGAGAGAAATCATTGTTTACAAAAGCTGTTACGCCCTAATCCCAGCTAACTAGTGGTGCAAACCGCCATGTATTGTGGAAAATTTGTGGTATGTTTCAAGAGGTGCTAGAAGGTCTGCTTGGCTTACATCAGGCATTTGGCCATTCGCAAACTTGCCACCCGCCACCCAAAAAAGCTCGCTTTTAGGTGCACTATTTAACGAGTTTTGTCATGGCAGTGATAAACATGCTTAGAAAACAATGCATTGGGGATTAAGGCAGACCATCCGAACTGAATTTAATCCTTTTTGAAGCAAACCAAGGTCGAAGACTCTCCGTCGAATCGCTTCATTTCGAGCAATATCATTTTCGTGTAAGTCATTGTGTTTCTTGTTATCGAGTCACGATGAACATTCCTCCTTTCAAACATAACTTGACTATCGCTTGTTTCGTTCGTCAAGTGCTTCACTTCATTTCATTTGAAGCAAAGACTTGTTTCAATTGACGCAATGAATGACTCGAAAACTGCTTCCTTTGTTTTTTCCACTTTCACTTCAATTCGGGCTCATTCGACTTGTCACGTATCGCGTCGTCAAGCATCAATATATAGTATCCACACACATTCAGAAAAAGTGTCACATACCCTACAATAGGATATTTTCGGAACGGGAATGGCGCTAAAAATCGAAACCCGACGCCATTTTGGAATTCAAAATAGCGACAATTGGTTTTCAGAAGTGTCAAATACCCTAATATATGGGTATTTTAGGAACGGGAACAACGTTGGAATCCAATATGGCGGCCATCAAGTTTCATAAAACGTGTCAAATACCCTAATATATGGGTATTTTTGGAACGGGGACAACGCGTGGATGCCGAAAATCGATATCCGACGCTATATTGGACTCCAATATGGCGGTCATCGGGTTTCAGAAAAAGTGTCAAATACCCTACAATATGGTTATTCTCGGAACAGGGACAACGCGTAGATGCCGAAAATTTATATCCGATGCCATTGTGGAATCCAATATGGCGGCCATTAGGTTTCATAAAAAGTGTCAAATACCCTAATATCAGGGTATTTTTCGGAACGGGGACCTTTCCAATTCCCACGACACGTAGATGCTGAAAATCGATATTCGAAGCCATTTGCAGGTCATTTTACACTTCTTCTGAAATCGGAAGCCACCATCTTGAATTTCAAGATGGCGTCGGACATCGATTTCTGGCTTCTAGATGTCACCCCGATTCCAAAAAAACCCACATTGATCGGTATTTGACAGTATTTCACAGTTTTTCTGAACCAAAGCCGCCATCTTGGATTTAAAGACGGCGTGACATCAATTTTCGGCATCTACGTCTCATCCCCATTCTGAAAATAACCATATTTTAGGGTATTCGACACTTTTCCGCAAATCGGAAGTCGCCGTCTTGGATTTCAAAATGGCGTCGGATATCGATTTCCGGCCTCTAGACGCCATCCCGATTCCAAAATACCTATATTGATGGGTATTTGACAATATTTCCCATTTGTTCTGAAATCGGAAGCCGCCATCTTGGATTTCTAAATGGCGTCGCATATCAATTTTCGATTTGTAAACTTCATACTGATTACAATAATATCAATATTGATGTGTATTTGACTGTATTTCCACTTTTTATTAAGCCGGAATCCGTCATCTTCGATTTCAAAATGGCGTCGGATATCGGTTTTCATCCTCTAGGTATC